TACCAAGCTGGATCTCCACAAGGCCTACTATTTACTGCGCATCTGCCCTGGACATGAACATCTAACAGCTTTTTCAACCCGTTTTGGCAACTTCGAATTTTTAGTAATGCCTTTCGGACTTTTAAATTTGGGACAATTGTTTTGCAGATTGATTAATAAGATCTTCCACGATTTTCTCGACGAATTCTTAATTGCCTACCTGGATGATTTATTAATCTTCTCAAACGACCCCGAGTCTCACGTACACCACGTACAAGCTGTCCTACAATGCATGCGAAAGCACCACCTCTCTGCTAATCTGGAAAAATGCGAATTTCACACTACTTCCCTCCTGTACCTAGGCTACTACATTTCTCCAGATGGGCTACAGATGGACCCTGAAAAGATACAAGCAGTTCTGTCCTGGCAACCACCACAAACAAAGAGAGAACTGCAAAAGTTCTTGGGATTCACGAACTTCTATCATCGGTTCATACTGCACTTCTCCTGTTTAACTGTGCCCTTGACAGACCTCTAGAAAGACAACGGGCGTCGCCTGAATTGGCCACCCGACGCCGCATCCACATTTGACACTTTGAAACGCCAATTCACTTCGAAACACCAACTGATCCATCCCAACACATCCACACCTTTCCCACTACAAACTGACGCTTCCGACAAAGCAATTGGAGCTGTTCTCCTACAACCACAACATGGGTCCACCACTGACCTCAGACCAGTGGCTTTCTATTCTCGCAAACTCTCCAGCTCGGAAAGGAACTATACAATTTGGGAGAAAGAACTGTTAGCCATCAAAGCCACCTTAGAAGAATGGCGACATTTGCTTGAAGGTTCTCCCCACACAATCCTCATCCAAATGGATCACAAGAACCTAGTCCACTTCGCTTCTGCCAAAATTCTCAACCAAAGGCAGGCACGATGGCCTCTATTCTTTGCTCGCTTTCACTTTCGTATTGAGTACATACCTCCTTCAAAAAATCTTCTGGCTGATGCTCTATCCAGGAAGTCCGAATACTTCCCCGACAATGAAGAGCAACCCGACCCGACCCCAATTCTACAACCCAAAATTGCAGCCACACCAACTATCTCCACCTCCTACACTGATGGCCTCCGCCACACACAACAAGCTGACCCCTTCGTCCAGACAAAAAGGGAACAAAGAGGGACAAGCACCCTTCCTGCCGCCTACTCGTTTGAGGACGACATCCTACTCTACAACCATGTTTCTTATGTTCCGTCATCACTCTGCAAATGAATACTACTACAATGGCACGACTCTCTGTCTGCAGGACATTTCGGGGTCTACAAAACGCTACACACCCTTCTAGAGACTATTGGTGGCCCCGCATGTACCACGACGTCAAATCGTACATACTCTCCTGTCCTACGTGCCACCGCACCAAACGACAACCGGGAAAACCACCAGGACTACTCCACCCGGTGGAAACCCCTCCCGGACCCTGGCACACCGTTTCGATGGACTTCATTACTGATTTGCCAAGATCAAGTGGCTTCAACACCATACTGGTTGTCACAGACCTTTTCACGAAAATGGCTCACTTTATCCCCTGCACAGGACTCCTCTCTGCCAAGACCACCGCTTCCCTGTTCATCCATCATATTTATAAAGCACATGGGTGTCCCCTCGCTTTAATTTCCGACAGGGGCAGTCAGTTCACGTCCCGGTTTTGGCGGGAACTCTTGACCTTGCTCAGGGTTGACCTCCGCCTATCTTCAGCTCATCACCCGCAAACTGACGGACAAACTGAACGTCTCAACGCGACACTCGGACAATACCTCCACTGCTACATGAACTACCAACAGGACGATTGGCTCTCTTTTCTTCCACTGGCAGAGTTCGCCTACAACAACTCTGTCCACGCCTCCACCCGTTAAACTCCTTTCTTCGCGAACCTTGGTTACCATTCTTGCGCCTTCCCTTCATCACTCCTGTTGTCGTCCATCCCCGCCGCCAGAAATTTCCTGCACGACTTAGCCTCGGTACAGTCCATACTCAAGCAACAATTGGACAGAGCCAAGGTAACCTACAAAGAAGTCGCTGACCGGTGTAGACAGCCCAGACCTCCTCTGCATGTCAGCGACTGGGTCTGGTTATCCACCGAATATCTTCCCCTTTTCGTGCCCTCCCACAAATTAGCCCACAAACGTGCTGGACCATTCTGCATCACCTCTCAAATCAATCCCGTTGCCTTCCACTTGGCTCTACCCCCCTCCATGAGGGTTCACCTGGTCTTCCACTGAGCACTACTCTCTCCGGCTCTGTGGCAACACCGCCTCCGCTCTCAACTTCCACCTCCTCCACCCGTTATAGTTGATGGAGAAGAAGAATTTGAAATCGAAGAGATCCTCGACTCTAGATTACGGAGGGGACACCTGCAAATATCTAGTGCACTGGAAAGGCTACCCCCCCCCCCCCGAGGACTAAAGTTGGGAGCCCGTTGCCAACATTCATGCTCCCTTCCTCCTGAGACAATTCCACTCCCGTTTCCCACATAAGCCAGGGGGCACTCATCTCCGTCACGGAGGGGGAGGTCATGGAGGGGGGGTAGTGTCATGCCTGATGCCCCGACAGAGGCAGCACCTCACGAGGAGGTGTACTTGAGACCCTGTACGCAAGTGTCAACCCCACAACCTAACTGGGAATGGCTGAGCAGATAGCCGTACCTCATCCTGACCCTTTACCCATTGAGCAAACACCCGAGCCTACATCAAAGCAAGAGAGCTCCGAGGGAAAAGGCACTATGAGTTCTGCTCATGAAGAGCCTGAGCAGACTGACCCACCTCCTCCTGACACTGAACTTCCTGAGCATGACACAGGAGACGCAGGAGGCGGGATAGACTTTTCTCTCGCGACCAATAGACGAATTCTGAGACGATGGGAACAAAAACAGGCTTTGTCCTGCCTCAGAGAGGAAAGGCGGGAGCAAGATAGCTAGTCCCACGTGGGCTCAGGAAGAGACGTCACTAAAGAGTTAGCATCTGACTTGTAAAGACCTTAACAGTAGAGCTTATCTGTAGTGTTGTAAATCTCGTAGACAAGTAGCAATCAAAGACTTTAGTTTTATTGCCCGTGAGCGTGTGGGTTGTTTGTACATTGAGCCATTCTTAACACCCTTAGCCACTACTGACTTGTGTCTACTGTCTTGGAAGACGGCTTTCCTTGTGGCCATCACATCAGCGAGGAGAGCTAGTGCTCTCCATATTGACCCTCCTTACCTCAACTTCCACAAGGAGAAGGTTGTTCTCTGCACCGACCCGGCTTTCCTGCCAAAGGTTGTTTCGCCGTCCCATGTTAATCAGGACATTCTCTTACTGACTTTTTTCTCTATGCTTTCAACTCCAGTAGAGTGCTCATTACACTCCTTCGGCGTTTGTTGCTGCCTAGCCTTTTATCGATCCCAGACTGAGTCTGAGCATGACAAGTGTTCTCTGATCATGTCCCGAAGGCTCTATAAATGGATCGTCCAAACCATTGAGCTTGCTTAGCAACTCTCCAGGTTAGAGTTGCCTGTAATGCTGAGAGGCCATTCCACAAGAGCTTTTGCGGCCTCTTCTGCCTTCTCCGCTGGCATTCCACTGCATGACATTCACAAAGTGGCCACCTGGATTACCCCTTGCACGTTTGACAAGCATTATCGCCTAAACCAGGGGTCAGCAACCTGTGGCTCCGGAGCCGCATGTGGCTCTTTCATCCCTCTGCTGCGGCTCCCTGTTGCTCAAAATATGCTTCACAACCGCCAATGTGCGACACCCGCCGGCACGCAATTTATTGAGCTTTTCGACCCCCGGTCGGCCAACCATGGATAAATCCAAGAAAAAGTTTCAGAAGAAACAAAATGTTTCATGGTATGTGGGCAGATTCATTTGCTTTCACTGCTGACGAGACTGGTTTACTAGTATGCTTAATATGTGGTGAGAATTGGCAAACAACAAAAAGTCAAATGTTGCAAGACATTTCCAGAATAAACACGCAGCCTTTGCTGAAAAATATCCGGATGGAGATGAGAGGAAAAAAAGCCATTTCGGAACTGATGCGGAAGGTTGATCTGAGCGAAAATCATTTCAAGAAGTGGATTAAGTCTGCAAATTCAACTACATATGCTAGTTTTGTGGCCGCTCAGGAAATAGGCACGGAAAGCCGTTCACAGATGGAGATACTATAAAAGAGTAATTCATTGATTTCATAAATGCAGCACACTGTAGGTTTTTTATACATAGCATAAAGGTAAAAAATGATATATGCAGTGTTATCTTCATTTTAGATGTCAAAAGGGTTTAGTGGCTCCCAGTATTTTTTGTGGGAAACGGGTCCAAATGGCTCTTTGAGTGTTTATGGTTGCCCATCCTTGGCCTAGATGTTTGTGCCAGACAGGACTGCTCCTTCGGTCACGTAGTACTCTCGTCAGTTCTTCAGTGATGACACCATCCCGCCTCCAAGTGTGGTAAGCTTACTAATCACCCATATGTGTGATGCACAGAGGCCACGACAAAGAAAGGCAAGTTGCTTACCTGTAACTGTCATTCTTCAAGTGGCCATCTGTGCATTCACACAACCCATCTGCCGGCCCCACTCAGTGTCAGTGACTGGGTTTATGGAACCAGTTTGACTAGGTTGTTACATGCGTTTTCTATACTTACCTCGTATGCCCTTTTTTTAGAGCATACTTTAATTAGGATATGAATGTATAATGCTTTCATCCTCCACTTGGGGTTGAATGGTCAGTCTCCAGTAGACTGGGGAAATGGCGGGAACTCCACCTTCTTATACTGTGGGGGGGAGCGCAGAATTCCCACCAAAACCGTTAAGCTCTTGAATCTTCCCAGCTACAGGCACTGCGCAGGTGCAGCACCCGTATGTGCGAATGCAGTTACAGGTAAGCAACCTGCCTTTTTTTACTAATGAAATTGGCCAATTTTTACAGTGTCTGACATTTTAAGGAGAAAGGCAAAATGTACAATTCTATTTTGCTTTTATTTAGGGCCGTTGCTACAATGGAGAATGCAAAACAAGAGATAATCAGTGCAAATACATCTGGGGAACTAGTAGGTTGATTTAAGTATGCTTTATTCACATGTATTTCTTTCTTTGTACTTCCAGCTTTTCATAGGAATGATAAAATCATTGTTGTGGTTTCTTTAAAGTTTTTATTTGGCATTCACCAGAGAAACATGACAATTCCAGTAATTGGACAGAGGACATTACATAGATTATATGTGTGTGTATATATATGTGCATTACACACACACACACACTATAGAGTGTGTGTATAGTTGCCCCAAACTTTTCTATGTTTGATAGTTACATTTAAAGTTATAACAATATATTTTACAAGGATTTACATTTATTGTAATTGGATATACATTCAAATAAGATGTCTATAAATGTGCTTATGTCCCAGATTCACTGATGAAGTATTCCATTCGATCTTGCATGAACAACAGCTCTAATAAACAGTTCTTCACGTTAAGGACTGTGCCATTGTAAGCTGCATTGATTTCAGCTTAATCCTGTTGAGAAGTTGCAATGGTTTAGTCTTTCTAGCTTCCTACCCAATATTTAGGGGAACTGATATCATTATATTGGAATCAAAGTAGTGTGCTCAATCTTATGCACATTTAAGGCCAAACTAGATACAGTGTGGCACAGGATTGGCCCTCATGGCTTAGTTTTTCTTTCCTAAACAACCACAGGGAAAAGAGTGGCACTCTGAATTAAGGATATGGTGTGTGACGGGGACACTTTTAATCCTTTTCCCCCATTGCCTTGACAAGTGAACTGAGCATATTTTATGGGTAAAAGAATTAAATCCCCTCTCTCACCATACCAAGAAAGAAGCATGCAAGGGCCAATCACACACTGAATGCCTAGTTTGGACAATCGTGACCTTGCACTTTCTATGGTAGTTTCCAGCTCCCAAGAGTTGGATACATCTTCAGCCTCTCTTACTGTCTTGATGCCCTCCACAATTTTTCTACAGAGTCTCCTACACACTCAACTCCTTGAATGTAATCTAAATCAGGCATGTATCTAACTGTATGTACTTAATGGAATTAAGATTACTTAGGAAGTGCAAATGAGTCTGCATTCCATAAACTTCCTTGTACAAAAATAGCTATTAGCACACTACTTGTAAATGTAGATAGATAGAATCTTTCTTTTTTGATGACTCCCTAATATTCTCTGGACAATAAGTTTATTTCATCAAACATTTCTTAAGTAAGCCCAGGAAACTTAAGTCTCTCAAGTAAGCTGGAAGTTGTCTGCAACACACAACTTTTTAATTCAGATATGTTCAAGGAATGGCTTAAAACAGGATTAACTGCAGTCTTTTGTTACCTGGACTGCTTGTGCTTGAGTTAGAACAATTTCTTCCAGAGATACTGATGTAAAACAGCATTCTACATTTTCTTGCCATTTTTTTCTTCTTATTTATAATTCACTATATTATTGAATACCATTACAAACTATCATTATGGTCATGTCTCTCAGGCACAGACATTACATTTTACACATAGAAGCATTTTGGTGCATTCACGTTAAAATACTTTGCAAAATAACTGAACAACTTTTCTTCATTTTTTTATTATTTTGTATACATTTTAATAAGGGAAAGTTTTGATTGCTTGCCTCTGTTAATAGAAATTGCATTCACATTTTCTTCAATAGAGGCTACAGGATCTCATAAACATTGTTATGAGAAGCTTAACACTGAAGGTACAAAAAAGGGAAACTGTGGAAAAGATGGAAATAAATGGATTCCATGCAACAAACAGTAAGTGTAGTCTTTTAGTATGGATATGTTATAGTTAGAAATTTTCAGTAACTTCTTGTCTTGCTGAAATTAGAAACCATTGAAACATTTTAAAATCTGCCCAGTTTAAAAGTTCATTCAGGGATTGGAAATGTATTTTGTTATTACCTATTCTAATCCCTGTCATTTCTCTGGGAGTCAGAGATAAAGACAGCATATTTCTATATAATCTTCCTTTTTATATGAATGCTTTGAGAATACATAATGGGCATCAGAGCATTAGGTATCTAGGGCCAAAGTAGATTCATGAATTCATCCCATGAATAATTGTTTGGTGGTGGTGGTGGTGGTGGTGGTGGTGGTGGTGGTGGTGGTTTAGTAAATAGGAAGTGTGAAGAGCCAATAGGAACTTTTTCCCAAATGCTAATAGCAAGTATGAAGGCCTGATCCAGACCAAGGTCCTAAACATTTGGAGTTTATATCCAGAACACCAACAAAATCTCATGTCCTAAACAACTAGTAATTGTGTGAATGACATCTCTAGTTTGGGCCTTCTGATAATCTGGTAATATTATTCTACCTTAATCTTACTGCAAACCAGTCTCCAACTTAGGGTAAATCAGAATGTGGCACATAAAGAACTTTCTTCCTGCATTTTTTGCATTTGGGGGGAACACAAATACATGACCCATAATTTCATTAGCTTAGCAGCAAAGAAACATGAACATAGCTGTTGCACCTCTTTTTCACTGCATCCACTTTTGCTCCGCCTTCCCCCACAAACTGCTTCTGAGGTTTTCACCACCATCAAATGGCATATGGGGAGCAGGAGCTGGAAAGTAGGACTCACAGAAAATGGAACAAAGAAGTCTGTGTTTGTAAAGGCATCTTTCCCCTTATACAAGGCATCTTTTAAATCTGAGCAGCAGCATGGTCTTAAATTGCATGGTATGTTCATCATCTGATACAGAGTCCTCACCATTTTTGAGTAGTTGCTCCCACTGCCTAGAAGCATTCTGATGTGTCAATTTAAGGTGTAGTGCTTGATGTCTCTACTATAGTCCCTTTAGTATGAGACTAGTGTGAAACATTCTTGGTAAATTTTTAAATTTTGAATAGACTTGCATCCTAAATTGAAATCCATTTATTAATCCTTGATTAATTAAATTTAGAATTATGCTTTTCACTAAAGAGCAAGCTGATTTTTTGTTTCTCATATTGGCATCTTTCATATTTACTTCAAAATTCTATCCATTTCCATTTTAGAAAATAACATGCTACTTGACCATGTCCCGGTTTTTACTTTACAGTGATGTATTCTGTGGATTATTGCTTTGTGCAAACCTTGATGGAGTTCCACGAATTGGCCATCTTCAGGGAGAAATTACCCCTACTTCCTTTTTCCACCAAGGTGTGGTAGTGAATTGCAGGTATGTAGTGCTTCATGTAAAGTACACAAATTGTTCTTTAGAATTCTTAAGTCAAAAAGTAAGATACATTTTGGAACAAACAGTGACCTTCTGTTATATAAAAATAGTAAATGGTTTAACTTGTATGGAACATACCCTAAACATTTATGAACTGGAATATGAATACATTGCCTTCTTGATACCAATATTTAATATCAGTCTTTCTTAAGTACAAGGGACGTTCAATGCATTCTCAGTATCAGCATGAAGAAAATGGAATAATAAATTGAAATCATTTTTATTTTTCAGTGTAATCCCCCATAACTTCAATACACTTATTACATCTATAAATTGACTTTTCAATTCCCTGTAAAAAATACCCTTCCTCCTTGTCTAAAAAAAGTGTGTTAATTGCTGCCTTGAGCTCTTCATCGTTGGAAAATCGCTTTCCACGAAGATCTTTGTTTAGATTCGGGAATAGGTAGTAGTCACTGGGGGCCAGGTCCAGGCTATAGGGTGGGTGGTTTATTTCTTCGAAACAGTCTTGCACAGCAGCCTTTGAAACACGCGCCGGGTGAACAGGCGTGTTGTCTTGAAGAAGCAAAACACCTGCAGTCAGTTTTCCCTGCCTTGTTTCTTTAATTGCGTCTCTTAAATTATGTAGAGTGATTGCTTAAGATGCTGTGTTTATGGTTTCACCTTTTTTCATGTACTCAATCAATAAAATTCCCTTTGAGTCCCAAAACACTGTGACCATGATTTTTCTGGCCGATGGAGTGACTTTGAATTTCTTCGGAGGGTCAGCACCTTTTTTATGCCACTGCATGGACTCCTGCTTTCTTTCAGGGTCATAGTGATGAACCCAAGTTTCATCTCCAATAACAATCCGGTCAAAAATACTTGATGGATCTTCACCACGGAGCTCTAAAAAATCCCTACAGCACTCGACTCGCACTTTTTTCTGAGGCACCATGAGCATTCATGGCACCCATTTGCACAGACCTTTGAAAGGTTAAGGTGGTCATGAAAAATAGTAAATATGGTACCAACGGATAGGTTTGTCATCTCTGCTAACATTTTGATTTTTATTCAGGCACCTTCCAATACAAGTTTCTCATTTTTTTTCACATTTTCTTTCTTTCTAGTGGCAGTAACCAGCCTGCCCGAGCGAGGATCATCTTCAATGCTTTCTCTGCCCCTTTTAAATTCACTTGACCACTTTTGAATAGTAGATAATGAAGGTGCAGAGTCCTGGTAAATGGCCGCCATCTCTTCATGAATGATTTTTTGACTTTTTCCTTGTTTTGTGAGAAACTTAATTACAGCGCAGTGCTCGATTTTCTTCAACATTGTCGCGTCAGTCATCATGGTCGTCTTTCACCAAGGATTTCTAGGGAACTAATGATCACACTTATTTGAAATTTTGCATGGGTACCCTCAGATAGTGTCATTAGCTAATGAAATAATTAAATTACCCACATCAATAGCAAATCAACCCGATACCTAGAATACATTGAATGCCCCTCATAATATTTTAAGCTTTAATCCTTGCCGCATCAATGAAATAATTTGATGATTCACTAGTAACTTCACTGTAGCCAGATTTTATTATCATGTTTAGTATCATAGAATCATAGGGAAGTATTCAGTAGGGCACAACTGCATATTTCCTGGAAAAATCAACTCGCCACTTAACGATATTGACACTACACTAGCATAGTTTGCACTAGCACAATGTCATTTATATTACTAGCAGAGCCCTGTTGTGAATTGCCCCTTTTTAAAATAGTAGAAATTATCTGAAAGACTAAATATCCATGAATATAAATATATAAAGGAAGTGGTCTTGTTATTAGTCTATCTTTCTTAGAGTATTTTGAAATCATAAATGCTAAAAGTCATTTCTATGAAATTACTGCTGGTGCTGTTTTTGCACTGCATTTCACTTGTTTGTTTGTTTAAAACATTTATATACTGTTCTATATTTCAATGAAATCTCATATCCCACCTTTTTTCCTTATGTGAGGAGCCGAAGGTGTCTTTAATTTTTTTCTTTCAGTTGTGCACATGTACTTTTGGATGATGAAACAGATTTAGGATATGTAGAAGATGGAGCTCCATGTGGTCCAAATATGATGTGTATGGATAGAAGATGCCTATCCATTCAGTCTCTGAACATAAGTAGCTGCCCTGTTGGTGCTAATGGAAAAGTTTGTTCCGGTCATGGAGTAAGTTCTTGCTACTATTTATCCATATTCTCAGTTTAAAGAAAAACCATTTCTTGCCATTGATCACTGTCTCCTTGCCACTGATCCCTGTCTAAAAATGTAGACAGGAGGCAGATTTTTCCATTAAAAATTCAGGATGCTGGGCAAGAGACAATTGTTTCTTTTCAGCACTCAGTTTTTATGACTTCAGTCTCGTTAACAGGCGTTTTAGCAGGTGCCCTCTATGAACTGAAATTGTTTTCTAGTTGTGTCTGAAGCAAAATAACCCAGAAAGCAAGGAGACTAGACAAATGTTACTTTGTTAAAAATACAAAACACAGTGATATTCTTAGTTTCACATACAACACCAAGTTTGGAACAATTGAAGGGAGGAGAGCAGCCATTGTCACCAGCTCAGTAGCACTACCATTCCTGCCAACCCTTCTCTAGAAGGTGTAGCAGCCATGGAAGGCCATGACACTGAGGTTGAAGCTCCTGGAAAATACATATAAAGTGCAGGAGAAGAATGTGGCCTTCCTATTTCCATTTCAACATCCACAGCCGAACCCCATCATCATGAAGTTGGCCCAGGGAAGCATTCCAGACCAGTAGACAGAAAGGGATGCCACCTGGACTTGAAGGGGAGGTGACTGTATTCATTTTCTGCTCTGGGGCTCTGAGTAAGAAATTGTCAAGCCACTATGACAAAAGACTGAGTGTTCTTCGTCATGGTCTCTGTGCATCACACATTATGGGTGTTGCACCTGGGCAGTGCCTGCAGCCGGAAAGTATTCAAAGCTTTAATGGATTTTGGCAGGAACTCTGCACCCCTCCCCTGCTGTAATATAAAGGGTGGAGCATCCACCATTTTCCCCAGTCTTCTTTCAACTGCCGATTGCTTTGCTTCGAGCCATTCGTTACTCTCTATTCTATTGCATTTTCCTTATTGTTCTTTACTGATGCCTGTTGATCTTCTCTTGTTAAAAATCCTTTCCAAGTTCAAAATCCCTACCTTCCCTGTTTAGGCAGTTCTTTCTCTTCCCCTTTTCCCTCCCCGCCCCCCACAAATTGTTATATACTTCATATCTTTACTATCTTCTTGATTCTTATTCTTCCATTCACTATCCATTTTCTTCTTGATGGCTTAGCATGCGGCTTTTCGAAAGTGCTCAAAATGTGGGGCCAAAATGTCTCCTCCATACCCACACAAGCTATGCCTTCTCTGTCTTGGAGAGGGACATTGGACTGACAAATGCAGCCATTGTCAGTCATTCACCAAACAGGCCTGCAAGAATCAGGAGAACCGACTGAGGAAGGTCCTTTGGGATCAACCCCTCATTGCCTCTGACGAGCTTGCTGCTCAGGACTCTTCCACAGGCCTGCCCATGGTGTCCTCCCCTTGCCCACCATCCGAGGGGGCTGCTTCCGAGGAGACCACTCGCTCCTCTCATTCCTCCTTCCAGAAACAAAAGGAGAAACGGAAGCACACCAGGCCGGAGGATCCGTCGGCTTCGAAAATGTATAAGAAGACTAAAACCAACAAAGCCAAATGCAAACAGCGTAAGCTTGCCAAGGAGCCTCGCAGGGACTCGGGTTTGTCCGCCTCATCGGTCCTGACAGCCGCTTCAGTCCCAACCCCTTCGGGTCCGACTGCCCAGGCCGTCATGCAGGTTATACCACCTGGATCCCCTCAACGGATCTCATTGTCGGCTTCTTCAACTTTGGATTGCTCCAAGGCAGCGCTCTGCGGATCGATCTGATGGCAAGATACGGGATTCACCTCCGCAATCTCAACCAGGTCATCTGCCGGCTTGCACATCTACTCCGATGCCATCGTCACCAGAGGCATCGCCAAGGCCTCCGCCCCCATCAGACACGCGTTGCCATCAGCATGCCTCGGGCCAATTTTCCAGCAGCTGGGTTCTGATGCCGTACAGCGTGTTCGATCCATCTCAGTCCTATCCTTGGGACAACCCTCCACTGTACGGTTACTACCCCATGCCTTCGGTGCACAGGCATCATCCTCGTCCATCCCGGGCAGAAGCACTTTCCATCTCAGCAGTTGCAACCTCCTGCCCTCCTCCGTCTCTGGCTGGCTCGTCCTCCAGTCCGCCTTACCACTACGACTTGGACTCAGAGGACTCAGATCAGGCTTCCACCTCTCCTAATGCCATCATTTTAACCCAGGGAGTTTTTGATCCAGCCACATCCAATGTCTCGGCAATACAAGTCCATGTATAAGGTTAGGGAGCAAGATACTCCATTCCTGCTCAAGCACCCTAAACCAAACTGTATAGTTGTGGAGTTGTCGTAGGGTTGAGACAACAGGGAGCACTCAATCCTGAGAGACAAGGAGGGCCAGAAAATAGACTTGATGTCACGCCGTATCTACGTGGCAATGGGACTAGGCTTGCGGATATCGAATTACGAGGCAACAATGGCCTGGTATCAGTGGCTGGAATCCATCACCTCTCCCATCACCTCTCCCATCATCTCTTCCTGATGCAGTGGCTGGAATCCATCACCTCTCCCATCCCGGAACAGCAATGTGACCTGGCCCCGTTTTCATCCATGAGTCTATGCAGCTAGCCATACAACAACTCAGCATGACATGACATCATGTAGATTGCGATTCCCGGGCACTTGTCGGATCCATCGCCTTACACCGACATGCGTAGCTAAGCTCCTGCAATTTCTTGGATGAGACGAAGAGGTACATTAAAGGCATGCCTTTCGACAGGTCCGGCCTCTTTAATACTCGCACAGACCACAAATTCAAGCATATTTACAACGCTGGATCCACTGCTCCAGAGATGGAAATACTGAAGTCGAATTGACGTAAGTGGCCGCAATCTCAATATTATCGGTATCAGCCCTATCAACGCTACCCCCTCACCAACAGTATCAGCCTCGTCAACACTGAAACCAAGGCCAGCCTGCCGCCTGTTTCCAGCAGGGCCGACACAGTCAACTCAATGATAAGCAACAGCGTTGATGAGATGCGCAGGCTGATCTTCTCTCTTTCTACCCACTTTCCCCCCTCCCTTTTGGGGACCAGCTGCAAGGCTGACTCCCCATTTGGGAGTCCATCACATCTGATAAGTGTGTTACCGGACTATGCCAGTCAACAGCTGGGGCAAACCCCAGGTGGACCCCAGACCCAAAGCCAAACAGAGCCTGAGACGAGACTTAGAGCCAAAACCAGCTTTATTCTAGTGCACTATAGAGTAAAGGGAGACAAAAGGGGACTTTCAGCCCAAAGCAGTGTCTCAAAAGTTGCACCACGGTACATGCGTTTTATACCCTAGGTAACCAATTAGGTCACCTAATACACATCTAATGCATCAATACATCAATGTATGCACCCCCTCCCATGCTGGAGAAAGAGTCCTTTCTTCTGTCAAGGACCAGACATTTCCTATGTCTATTTCTTATCTGCTCGAGATTCACACAGGCTTGCCATGTTCTTACTCCCTGCACATTTGCAACTTTCATGGCATCTAGAACCAGTTTCCACTGTCCCTTTGATTACTGTATTCGAGGTCAGGCTAGTGTGTTAGCTGTGAGTTACACAAAGTTCCTTTTGTGCTTATCTGCCCTCCCTTCTGGGACAGTATAACTGTGCTGTTTTTACTATGTGGCCTTCCTCTGGCCAACTACTTTTGGGGCCTTTCTCTGGCCAATTACTTTTGGGGTGCTGCAATTGGCAACAAGTGGGTAGTTTCTATCATTGAGCACGTATATAAAATCGAGTTTGATACTGTGCCCCTTCGGGACCTATCCGTTACACCTCTCCATCAATGGTCCTATGAGACGAGGTCTCCCAGCTACTTCGTAAGGGGGTGATTTGTTAGCTCTCCCGCTCAGAGGGGCTTCACGGTTTCTACTCAAGATATTTTATGGTCCTGAAATGGGACGGTAGTCTACGCCCGATATTTGATCTATGTGGCATTAACAGGTTCATCAAAACTAAGAAATTTCAGATGACCACCCTTCAGAATATCCTTCCATTGCTCAGGAGAGAAGATTGGTTCGCTTCTCTGGACTTAAAGGATGCATATTTCCACATTAGCATCCATCCATCTCACAGGTGGCTCCTTCAATTCACTGTTGGCTCCAACATTTTTGGGTATAACGTCCTCCCATTTGGACTCGCTACTGCTCCACAAGTCTTCACTAAGTGTATGGCACCTGTTTGTGCTTATCTCAGGTTACAGGGTGTTCAAATTTACCCCTACCTGGACAATTGGTTGATTGTCTCGGCCATCGATACCATGTGCAGACTCTTAGATGAACTCAGACTGTGTATTAATATAGAAAAGTCCTGCCTCGTTCCCTCACAGGTCATCGACTTCATCAGAGCTCATCTCGACTCGATCCAAGCCAGGGCGTTTCTACCGCAGGCTCGAATGGACAAGCTTCGATCTTCTATTCATCGCATCTACAATGGCCGATCTGCTCCTGCGCTTTCCATATAGAAGTTGCTCAGACACATGGCCTCCACAGTTGCTGTTGTACCCAACTCCAGCCTTCAAATGCGACCTCCACAACTGTGGTTCAACAGCCTCTTCCAACCTCAACACGACTCTCCAAATCGCCTTCTGCTACCACCTGCTTTCATTCGTCGGACTTTGACTTGGTGGACGAACGAGGACAATCTTTCCACGGGAGTCCCATTTCACCAGCCACAACCGTCAGTGACTCTCTACACCGATGCCTCCCTTACGGGATGGGGAGCGCATTGTGCCAATCTGCATACTCAAGGCACTTGGCAAGGTCATGAAAAGTCCAGGCACATCAATTACCTAGAGCTACTAGCAGTTTTCAAAGCTCTCCAGTCCTTTGAATCAGTCCTTCAGGACTGAATGGTTCAAATAGCCTTGGACAATGTCGTGACTGTTTTTTATGTCAACAAGCAGGGCGGCATGAAATCTGTACTTTTAGCCCACCTTGCCCTGAGAATATGGGACTGGTGTATCCCCAGAGGGATTACCCTGCTAGCAGTTCATCTCGCCGGTGTAGACAACGAAGAGACGGATGCCCTCAGCAGGCGGATGTCCACAACTCATGAGTGGGAGTTGGACCAACAGATTTGCAACATCTTCCAACACTGGGGCACCCGACCATAGATCTATTCACTACAGCAGCCCATTCATTGAGTGTGGACTATTGCTCCTGGGCAGGCATAGGCCTGAATTCGATGGGGGATGCTCTGGTGATGAACACGTTTTTCTGCGCATTTCCTCCAATTCCGCTAATCACGAAAACCCTGGCCAAAATTGTTCAAGACAAAGCCCAGGAAATTCTTATAACACCATGGTGGCCACACCAACCTTGGTTCCCAACCATTCTCAAACTTTTCCAGCAAACCTTCTTTTGTCTCCCACGAGTTCCTCATCCTATTACACAGGAAAATGGGGCGATTTGCCATCCTGATCTTGACTCTCTCAACCTCACCACTTGGCTCGTTCAGTGACTGTTCCTTCCTCCTCTGTCTCAGTACCGACAACTTCATTGGTTCTGATGACTCCAGTACAAACCTTGGTACTGACGTGATCTTTGGTACCGATGGAACCTCCTTCACCTGGACATTGAATTTATTCTCCAATTTGCTCTACGACTGACGATTCACCGCTCCTACGAAGCTAAATGGAAGCGTTTTAACCACCTTTGCAGTGAGCAACTAATTTCTGCCTTACTCAGCTTCAATTGACCATATTTTACTCTTTCTACTACCCCTACACCAGCACGGACTAAAATCTACTTCTATTAAGGTGTATATCACTGCGATTTCTCACTTTCATGGTCCTATATCCGGCTCCTCCGTCTTCTCACATGTCCTCGTCTGCCATTTCCTGAAAAGATTACAAAATCTTCATGTTGACCCTCCTTACCTCAACTTTCATAAGGAGAAGGTCGTTCTCCAGATTGAGCCTACATTCCTCCCTAAGGTCGCTACACCCTTTCACGTTAATCAGGGCATTGCTCTGCCAGTCTTCTTCCCTTCACCCTCCACCCTCCAAGTATCTCCATTCTCTCGATGTATGTCTCTGCCTGGCTTTCTATCGGTCCCGTATGGAGAACTTCAGAAAGACCAAATGCCTTTTTATTAAATACTTGGAACATGATAAGGGCTCTGCTGTCTCCTCCCAAAGACTCTCCAGGTGGATCATCCAAACCATTGAACTGACATAGCAGTTGTCTAAACTAGAACTCCCTGTCATGCCCAAGGGTCATTCTACCAGAGCTGTGGAAGCCTCTTCGGCTTTTTCTGTTGACATTCCGTTACCTGACATCTGCAAGGTGGCAACCTGGACGACCCCTTGCACATTCACCAGACATTATAGATTTGATGTCCATGCCAGACAGGACTGCTGTTTTGGTCATGCTGTTCTTTCTTCAATTCTTCACTGACGACACCGTCCCACTTCCGGGTTGGTAAGCTTACTAGTCACCCATAATGTGTGATGCACGGAGGCCATGATGAAGAAAGGCAGGTTGCTTACCTGTAACTGTCATTCTTCAAGTGGTCATCTGTGCATTCACACAACCCACCCACCGGCCCCACTCGGTGTCAGTGATTGGGTTTACGAAGGTTTTTCCCTTCTTCACAACTACTGTATATGTTTGTACTCATTTTATTACTATGTTCCTTTCTTTGATTTGTTTCATTGGTGGCGTCTTACACTGACCGCTTATCCACCAGGGGGTGATCAGATGCTCTCCATGAGACTGGGGAAAATGGCAGGCGCTCCGCCCTTTATAGTATAGTGGGGAAGGGGTCCGGAGTTCCCTCCAAAATCTGTTAAAGCTTTGAATTCTTCCCGGCCACAGGTACTGTGCAGGCGCAGCACCTATAATGTGTGAATGCACGGATGACCACTCAAAGAACGACAGTTACAGGTAAGCAACCTGCCTTTCCTCTGGGAAAGGATTGACTCTGTTTGTGACCATTTGCCAGAGGACCAAACATTGGCTCCTCAATATAGAAATGCTGTAAAGATAAGCAAACAAAAACAACAGAAAACAAGCACAAGTTGAAGCCATGTGAAAAAAAGATGTTTTTTCCTGTCATGTATTATTTTTGAGTATGGAGCAGTCCTGATCTGGGGCAGAGGGGATGGAGACTTCTTAGAATTCTTTCCATGTTCCAGAATGAGATTCAAATGTTTTCCTTTTTCAGACAGATAGAAAACATTGTGCGTGCTTACATATCAACAGAGTACTTGCATACAGGTGTGCACATTTCTGAGTACTTATGAAACTCATGTTAACATACAGCTCTTTCTTCTGGTTCAGTGAATGAATCAAATCATATGCTTGAATGAATGTATATGCAAATCAGTTTCCCCTGTGATGAGGAAATCCATATCCACATCTGAGAGCATCTGGATATCTGGTTCTAAAATATAAACATACTGCTGCCTAAAATGTTTTAATAAATAAATAAATAAATAAATAAATAAAATAAACAGCTATTCTTTTTCTGCTTAAAGTGCAACCATATGCATGTTTAGAGAGAAGAAAGGCCTACAACTTCAATAACTTTTTCTGCCTAAACATGCATAAAATTGCACCCTTGGAATTGTTAACCTAGAAGTCATGTATATTTTATGTTATACTCACTCATGCTAACGTTTCCTTTAGGTATGCAGTAATGAAGCCACATGCATTTGTAACACTACCTGGGCAGGGACAGATTGTAGCATGTTTGACCCTAGGAAGAAAGAAGAACCCGAGAAACCAAATGGACCAAAGGGTTTGTATGATTTCATTTTCCCTCATATTCATTTTCCCTCCTCCCCAGTAAATTGTTGAGCACAAGAGAACAATACAAATTACCTCAATACATGTATTGTGTTTCTGGGAGATTGTATATATGCCTGTGCTGTATTTTATATATGCCTGTACTGCCTGTACTGCTCCAAAGGTATTTCACATAAAATCATTAAGATTTCATCTTTTATATTCAATAACTTAACTAGAAAATAAGTTTTGCTCTGTGTACATGATTTTACATATTATGATTTTAAAGAAGAAATCATAACTGAATACAAGCCCTTATTAAATATATCTTCTCTCCAAAAGATGCCTAACATTGTTAGAAGTCTCCAAAAATGATTTATAGCTCAATCCTCTGTACATATATTCAGAAGTAAGTCCTGTGGGGCTTATTTCTACATAAGTGCATGTATGATCTGCGATCTTAAATGCTTTGCCCAGTTAAAAGAGCCCGCTTTTCCCATTAATTCAGGAATGTCCTGAAACTTTATATTCTTTGCCTCTAGTATATTCAGCTTGTTTTGTAAAGAAACGTGACAGAATAGCAAAGCATATTTTAAAGTTTAAAAAACATAAATGTTTTGATTTTTAGAAGCTCAGTTGAATCTACTATAATATTCCTAAACTGCAACAGTAAAAAGTAACAGTAGCTTATTTTTGGGGGGTACAACCCATTTGGAACTGGAATGGTTTTGATTTTTTTTTCATCCTTTAGAATTTAGTGAGACAGTTTTACATCCAATGTAATTCCAGAACTAGAAAAATATTGTTTTAAAGTATGTTTTACTGTCTTTGGTGAATATTAAAGAAATCAGTATTCATTAGTATAGGAACATTACTTCAGGTACATACAGTTACAATGCATGTATTTTCAGATCGTCTTAGCAAAAGAATAGAATATAGGAGCAAGGTGTTGGTTCTATTTACTAAAGAAAGAACAGTATTAAAAGCATTTTTAAAATTCCTCCCAATGCCCACAATTTCCCAAAAAAGTGAAGTTTCAAGAGGAGCAAAACTCAAATCGCTTTTAGGCAACTCATTATTTGGGATTGAAGGCAGGGTGTTGAACGGTGATCATTGAACATACAAAATTTTATTTTATTTTAATTCTGAAATCAAAGTATATTCAATAAACAACATCTTCCATCTCTGCATTTTAAATTCTGAGAATTCAAGAAAAGTTTAAATCTTCAAGGAAATATTGTTTCGGTGCCTCTCAGTTAACTTCTGTGGTGTTAAATTTTAGTGAAAATAAGAAAAAGAATAAATTAGTAGGTTTTCTGTGATCTGAAGTTTTCTATATAATTTTCATAATGTATGTTAGTGTACTATATAAACTGGTATATTATATTAAGATAATTTATTAACATCTGCTTCTGTTGCAGTCTTGTTTCCCTTTCAGAGCTTCTCCCCCTCATTTGTCATTCCTTTTGTATTTGAGGATCTTAAATTTATGTCACTTTCAAGTAAAAATAAATTATGATAAACTGGAAAATACATAATTAACTGGCAGGGCTGTAAAAATGCAATGCAATGTCAGCTCAGAAGTAAGTCCTATTGAGTTAAGTGAGTGTTATCCCCAGAAAAGTGTGTATAAGATTACAGCCTCAGGATTATATTTTCAGAAACTGACTTCCAGTGGGATGTTGTTACAAGCCATCAAGTTGTCTCTGACTTATGGTGGCCCTATGAATGAGCACCTTCCAAAATGTCCTGCCCTCCACAGACCTCCCCAGCTTTTGTAAACTTCCATGGATACAGTAACCCAAAAAGTCAACAAAACAAAAACAAGCAGGTTAATCTACCAGTGCTTTGTAACTAGGTAACCACATTTAGTGCAGTATCCAGTGCTGCTGCTGTGCTTCTGCTATTTTGGATATACCAGAGGGATCCATTGCAAGAGCAGCAGGAGCCAGCACATCTTCAAACGAGCCCAGAAACAAGTAGAAACAAGTGTTTTGAGGACAGAAGTCTGCAGAGTTCACTTCTGCCAGTTTTGCTGACCTTCCTCTTTCCACAGATGAGTGTTTCTGAACATTAACATTTGCCTCAAGACCCAATAGTTCCCTTTTGTACAAACAGTGGCCTTGCTTGCACGAGAACAGTGAATTCAGCTGAAATTCTCTACACGTACAGTTGGGTTTCAGCCCTATTAAACACAGACTTCTGAATAAACATGTACAGGACTGCATTAAGAACAAAACTGCTCTATAATAGAAATTTAAGCTTAAAAGTAAGCTAAGGCTGCATTCTCTGTACAGTATTGTATTACGAACAATAAAATGTATCAAGATTACAGCCAAAATAATGGCTGTCCTGGTTTTTTTTTTTAAATCACTGTAGTTTTTCTTACTGAAACATTATTTGCACACACAATTCATTCCTTTCCAAGCTTGATAAAGGCAGAATGAATTTATAATAAATGGATTCTAGCAGGCAAAAAGTTTGTTGTTGTTGTTAGTCGCAAAGTCATGTCTGACCCATTGTGACCCTATGGACAACATTCCTCCAGGCCTTCCTGTCCTCCACCATCCCCCAGAGTCCACCTAAGTTCACACCGACTGCTTCAGTGACTCCATCTAGCCACCTCATTCTCTGCCATCCCCTTCTTCTTTTGCCCTCAATTGTTCCCAGCATTAGGGTCTGCTCCAGGGAGTCCTTCCATCTCATTAGGTGGCCAAAGTATTTGAGTTTCATCTTCAGTATCTGGCCTTCTAAAGAGCAGTCAGGGTTGATCTCCTCTAGGACTGACAGTCCAAGGGACTCGCAGGAGTCTTCTCCAGCACCACAATTCAAA